TGGTCTACGCCTATATGGGAAAGAAAAGATTATATATTGGTCATGCTACCATCCAGTAATTGTAATTTGTATTCCAAATGCAAATTATCCCTAATAAATAAAGTTTGTAAGGTATTAACACATAAGTAATTATTTATTTATTTTTATGTATGTCTTTATAATAAAAATATTATGCTTAAACTATCCTAAAGGAAAAAATAATATTTTCAACAAGCAAGGTTTTAAGGGAAAAAAATAATAATAATAAAAGAAAGAAAGAAAGAATGAATGAATGAATGAAAACGGAGGTGCAATTTTGTTGAGAACATTTTGCAGAAAGCTAGCTAATGTGTAATTTATATCAACCACAACATCTATTTTTTACTCTCTTAAATTTTGTGATGTTTAAGTATGAAGTTATTTTAGAAAGCTTGTTTTCCTTACAGTCAATCTACTGCTTGCTTACTTGCAGGAAATATTGAGTTGCTGACATATATACTTTCTAAAGGTGTTGAGGTTGATTCTCAAAGTGATGCTGGCACCCCTTTAATTTGGGCTGCTGGTCATGGTCAAAACGATGCAGTAAGAGTTTTGTTAGAGCATCATGCTAACGTAAGTTGTTTCATGGTTATTTCATGTCTAGTGATACTGATTGAGGATTTTTCTTCTTGTGGCGAAATATCTCACATTCATTTTGTTTTAAGAATCAGACAGTTTTCATTTTTGATAGTTTCCTTTCTTGTTTATAAAGAGCATCTAGCAGAACCTGATTACAGATAGCCCTGTAAACTTTACACTGTAATTTCTTGGGATAACCTTTAATGTAAATGAAGCTTCAGTCCAAGGCCTGTTAGTTTTATTTTGGTATAATAAGTTTTAGTTGGCCCTAAATGTAAGCATAGATGACTGGCGACACACACTCCAGCCATATTCAAGTGGGCTCCATGTGACTGGGCTGTCTGTCTTCAGTCATTTTGTGATGAATTAGCCTCTTCCTAAACTTTAAGTAATCTTTTGCACAATGTTCGAAATGCCATATATCGCCCTCTTTTTCACTTTAAATAAAGTTTTCATGGCAAGAGTGAAGATGTAATATCCCACAGTGCATTTAACAGGAGTGGATAAGTGTGTTGAATGAGTTTGGCATTCCCGTTTTGTTTAATATGCACACAATTCTCAATTCTCTGCCTCTGAAATTCATGTGTTTGCAATGGATTGAGTTGTTTGACGTTGACTTTATTTTGAAATGTGAGCTTCCCTATTTTGCTGTCTTATTCCTAAGTAATTTATAAAAGTATGAAACGATGCCTTCATTTTGTGTCATTTTAGGTTAGTTTGTCTTATATCCTTTTCATAATTCTATGTTTTGCAGCCCAATGCTGATACCGAAGATGATATCACACCATTATTGTCTGCTGTGGCAGCGGGTTCTGTCGCATGTGTGGATTTGTTGGTTAAGGTTGTGTGCTTTAGTGCTTTACCAATT